CTCCCCCACCCCCCTGAGTTTCATGCACTTGATAGTAGTACAGTTGAGGTCCTGTGGTAACCCAAGATCTCCATTTCACACAAGTAACATTAGAAATAAGCATTCAGCCTTAAGCTGTTCATCTGTTGCACAGAATGTGCATGTTTTGCACTCTTGGGAAACTTAGCGTTACAACATAAAACATTTTAGTCCTGATTCTGCCAGCTTTATTGAGGTGCCTCTGATGAAAATTAGTAGATTTGTTCTCTTTTCTGCTACTGTGATAGAGAGTGATTTCCTTAACATGACTGTTACTGTTCAGCAGTGAAACAGGATGGTCGACAGAAGATAAACTTTTTCATTATGCTTTCAGTGAGTGTGTTTGATAGTAATATTAAAATGCTACTAGTGGCCAAGGTGCTTGCTTATGTGTTTGGGTGTGAACTATTGTTTAAGCTAAACTAGTACTGGTAATGGAAATTTTTCTGATAATCTCTGTATTGTAGACTTGCTTAAATTGTTAGGCAAGAGGAGTGCTTCAGATACAGGGGTGAGGAGGTGGGAAAACATTTATTTCCATTTATTACAGTACAGCATAGCTAGTAAGTTTACCACGTTCCTCACTCTAGGTGCATAGCCACTATGGACAGAATCTGTACTGAATCATAAATGAAACTTGCTTGGACACAATGCATTTTTGCAGTAGTAAGACCTGCCATGGCATAGTGCGTCTGTGTAGTGACCTCAGATCATTTAGTCTGACCGCATGTGTTAGTGCTTGAAAGATGAAGACGTTCACACCCATTGCTAGGTCTCCATGGAAAGTAATGAAAACTGATAACCTACCAGTGCTCAAACTGTTTGGAATCAGAGGTACAGGTTTCCTGGAAAAGCAAATGGCTGGATTCTTAAGGGCATGCAGGTGACACTGGAAGTAGCATCACAGAGAGAGCAGTGCCCTACCTTGTATACGTGTGCAGCAATGAAGCAGATTCATAGACATTTATTTCTGATTTTGTAACAATGAGGTCTACTGTATGCTCTTAGCTTTATTTTGTATGTATTTCATACTGCATTGTATAAGGAAGAAATTTTTTACAATAAGGGTGGTGAAACACTAGAACAGGTTGCCCAGAGCAGTGGTAGATGCCCCATCCCTGGAAACATTCAAGGTCAGGCTGGATGGGGCTCTGAGCAACTTGATCTAGTTGAAGATGTTCCTGCTCATGGCAGGGGTGTTGGGCTAGATGACCTTTAAAGGTCCCTTCCAACCCAAACCATTCCGTGATTCTGTGATTAAAGAGGATGGTATTCAAAAACTGTATCTGGAGGGTATTAGATATTTAATCTCTGAGGACTCAGATATACCTTTAAAAGCTGTCAATTCACATACTTCTGTGAATTCAACTTCCTTTTTTTCTTTTTGTGTACCATAAGCATGTATATTGTAATGTAACACTCCTGAGACAGTCTGTGATTGAAATGTCAGAAATCAGCAGTATGAAAAGCAGGAAAAATTGTACCTGTTTAATTAAAACATAGTGAATTTCTTCACTGTTTAACTGAAAAAGGATTTGACTTTTGAGTAAAATCAAAATAAAAACAGAACAGATTTTCTGAGAATAAAGAAGAAAACAAAGCTTGATGGAGCTTGTTACCTCCATTTTTCATTGGAAGGTCCTTTAAAATAAAATGGTGCTGTGGTAGAGCAAATTGATGCTGCAGTAGAGGAAAGAGCACATCTATCCTAGAGGCTGTGCCAGACTTTTTTGCATTAAGATTTCTAGAAACAAAAATGGAGGTCATCAACAGTTTTAATTTTATCCCACAACTTGCTCTCTTACGGAACGTGTAAATTGGTTCATTTGGCATGCTATTAAATTCTGCCACAGAATTCAGAGACTCTGTTCTTCAATCTTTTGGTCAATTTCCTAAACTGAAAATAGGCTTATTCCATTTTTATTTAATGTCTAGCTAATGTTTGCATGTGTGTCTTTTAAACTAGAATGGTTCAAAATTGCTGTGCATGTCAGAAATCCCATTTAATATTTAACATACTTCACTATTAATGATACATTTGTAGATTCACAAAATATAGGTAAACCTCTAATTCTTTAAACAGGTCTTGAAAATTATGTCTTCAAATGACAGGGTTGTAAAATGGATTGAATTTCTGATTCAAAGCAGAACTGATACTACCAAAACCATTGCAGAAGTAGAGGTATTGCAACTGGTGCCATATCAACGGACTACTGTCTGTAAACTCAGATGGTAACTGAGCCATTTGCACAATCAAGATACAAGACTGATTTCCAAAGTTATTCAGTATTTTTTCTGCTGACTTCAATTAGAGGCATTCGTACACTTTTAGTGTGAAAATCAAGCCGTTAACTCCTGTGTTGTACACTGTCAGCTAAGATGTTATAAAGTTCTTAATTACATCTATACTTGCTTTTCTAGCAATATGTACTTTTCTATATTTTATGGTATTAATCTGAAATGTTTAAAGTCATATTTATGAAAACCTTTTGATATTTACAGTTGTCACTGATATAAAAAGCAGAAGTGGAAGGCAAAGTGAATGGGCACTTATGTCCAGTGTGTTGATGGGAAGAAAACATTTTCAAACTGTTTGAAGGCCAGGACAACACAAAGCGCTATCAGCAAAAGCAGAAAAATGACAGTTCAGTTTCCAAGCTGCTTTTTTTTTCATTGTAGAATTTCATTACGTTTCTCACTATTGCATTTTAGAATGTTGTTTTTATTTTCCTTCTTTCAGACTGCTGTGAGTTTCAGAGATCAGCCATGGGCATTAAAGGTTTGCAGGGATTAGTGGAAAGAGTTTTCCCTGATGTGTGCAGAATGGTAGACCTGAGAGAAATGGCAGAAAAACATCGCATCGATCATCCTGATTTCCCGCCTGTTATTGTAGTAGATGCCATGAGTTGTGTTAAATACTGGTACACACCAGAATCCTGGGTGTGCGGTGGCCAGTGGCGGGAGTACCTTGCTGTTTTAGAGGATTTTATTAAAGCTTTTACAGCAGCTGGTATCGAGTTGATGTTTTACTTTGATGGAGTGGTAGAAGAGAAAAAGAGAAAAGAGTGGATCAAACGGAGGTTGCAGAATAACAAGGAAATAGCCATAATATTTCAGTTTATCAAGACTCACAGGAAGCAACCAGGGAGAGGAATGTTCATTGTTCCATCGGCTTTGCCTGCTTTTACACGTTTTGCCCTGAAGTCGCTTGGTCAAAAAACAGTATGCACATTGCAAGAGGCAGACTTTGAGGTGGCTGCTTATGGTTTGCAATGTAACTGCATAGGAATTCTCGGGCAAGATAGTGACTACCTCATCTATAATACATGCCCCTACTTTTCCATTGAGAAGCTCCGTTTGGACAGACTGGTCACTGTTATGTACTCTCGAGAAGATCTTTGCCGTGCGTTGGGTCTTAGTTTGACACACCTCCCTCTCTTTGCTTGCTTGCTTGGCAATTATGCTGTTCCAGAAAGCTTGTTGGAAGGCTTTTGGCGTAAATGTTTAGCCACCAGTCCTCACAAGAATAACAGCTGCAACAGAAGAACAAACATAATTCTAGCTGTAGCAAATTACATCTCAAAAGTTCCATGCTCATACAGCAGCCTGAAACACTTGGAACAGATGCTACCTTTGGGATCAGACAAGACATTACTTTACAGAGGAGTGGAGTCCTATCTTTTGCCCGGGCAGCAGTCTCCATGGATTCCTCCCAACGTAACAAATTGCCAAATGTTCTCCCTTCAACAACAAACAGCCATGTGCCAAGATAAGGAAATCTTTCAGGTACCTTGTTTTTTAAAGCTTGATAGTCACTTTATTGCTATGACTGCTTAGTGGAAGTTGGTAATGAGTACACCGAACCTATTGATCTAAATTTGCTTGAGCAAAATCTTTTGTCTCTCTTAAGTACAGCCATGCTTAGGACTATTATATGCATCACCATGAGGACGGATGCAGCTCATTCAATTAAAAGTGGTTCCACTCTTCTTGAAGCATCAGGCAGGTCAAATAATGGGGAGCAGCTCCTCTATAGGCCTATAGCTGTGTGTAGAGAGGTACTTCCCATGTATTGCAGGATGTAACGAGTTGCTTTTTGCTTTGAGAACCCACAGGTCAGCTACAGCTGGTCAGTGGTCTGCTTGGCCGTGCCTGGCACATACAGTCGAGGTATCAAAGGGAGCTGTGCTAAGAAGGCAGAAGCTGAAATTGCTCTTGTGGAGGAGATGAGGAAGCTTCCTGTCAATCTGTATTTCATTATTTTTGGTTAATTATCCTTCAGATTCGTTATCCCTGAAGGAACCAAAAGCACTTCAAGTGGCTTGTTAATCCTTAAAGGGCAGGGCTGCACTAGCAAGTTTCACTTATGGCTTCCCACATGGGCAGAGAAGCGCTGGTGTTGGGGTGAGAAACAGTACAGTCAGATTGGGTCACTCTGAGAGACTGGATATATTAGCTAGGGTAGCCTACCTGGCTAATACAAAACTGAGCTACCTTGCATCAGAGTTTATGCAATGGTAGTAAGTCTAGAGTACAATTCTGTGAATTCATGGCTATTAAGATAACGTATTGAGATTTAATTAAAAAAACCTATACGAAGTAGTGTATTTTAGACCGTATATTAGCCATCTGTTACTCCCTATTTTCTTACGTACCTATAGACTTCAAATAGAAGGTCTTTTTTTTCTCTGTCTCTTATTTATCTTGAGCATTTTCTTTAAAACGGTTTTTCTGTTTCCTCATATTACTCTAAAGTAATCCTATAATTTACATTTTCCTTTTCTAAAAAGACTCTAAACCATTTTAAAACTACATTGTAACCTATGCAGTGCTCATTTCAGCTAAACTGCAGATATAATTGTGTTTTTTAATTAGCCACACATAGATATGTGTCACTTTTGACTGTAGTAGTTAAATAGAAGACACTATTTCAAAAAAAAAAAACCCTACATCCTAACAAAGTGTTGAAAAATATTGTTTATTCTTGAAGTGCAAAGAAAAATTAGCCATAATGTAATTATCTAGGTTGGATTATGGCCAGGATAATAATGGTAATATCCTTGCTCCTTAAGAGAATGTACCATGCGGTCTTTATGACAAGTGGTCATTATTTCTTGGCTAGATCCTAGATTTGAAGGGTTGCAGTTCTCTAGCATCATGCTGAGCTACTGCTGTAATAAAATAATAATGTTTAGAAACTCCATTGAAGAATGCCTCACTGTTGCTGCATAAATCCTATGTTAAGCCAGTCCCTGGGCCAAGGAAATTACAGTCAAAGTTGTAGACACGTTAACTTGTCTTTTGTTTTTGTTACAGGTGTTTAAATATTTGTATATGTAATGTGTGTGCTTTGCTTCATATTTTGAAACCCATATGTAGTTCTGCTTACCTTGCACATAATGAGCTGCATGTAAATGACATACACAGCTCAGTTCCAACCTTGAGGACATAGCCTCATTGCTGCTTCTCTCGGAAAAGAAGAGCATAACTTTCTAGCTGACTGTAGGTGTAAATCACAAATATTTTTCAAGATACAGCATTGAATACAGCAATACTTTTGAAATGAGCTTGTATTTTTTTTTCAGTACATAAGGTTGTGTAGATTATTGGCAAATTGCAAGAAATTAGTATTTTCAAATTATATCTGTGACAGCGGTTTGTATTAAATAGTTCAATGCTTCATTCAAGCAATGCTTAGAAATACTTAACTGTTTTTGTTATACAAAAGTAGATTAGGGGGTTTACATTGTTTACCTATATTAGGGATACTGAAGTGTTTCTTCCAGGGCAACCATTAATTTATTGCTATGAGAGAGTGCTCTGTTGATTGGCATTGTATAGAGACGCCTATCATTGATTGTATGTTCGTATGAGAATTTCTTCTGAAAGTATATTTCAGTAGAATTAGTTTTGATCAGTAATGACCCAGTGATTGATTGCAGCTTTGACCTGCTGAGTTCCCAGGTTTGCAGATACTGGAATTCTGCAGAAACAGTGAGTTTGGCTCTGGCCAGCGGTCTGGTAATTCCCAGTGAAAGAGGCTGAGATAACTGCGTGGATGGCTCAACCCAAATAATGCAGATAGCGTGACACATGCAGGGAACACGGAGCAGAGAAACTTCAGTGCCTGGTCACCATACAGCATGGGTCCAGGAGAATTTATTAGCGGTACCCCATGGAAGTAACTGGCTCTACTCAGCTGTTTGAACACCCCCATAGTTTTGGTCTGAGGTTGTGAAGTAGAATGTCTGGCTCTGCACTTGGCCAGTCCAGGTTGCAAGTGGTACTGGTTGAAGTTCTGCACTGCCTGAGAGCAGCTTTGCTGCTTCTGCATCTAAGCTGTTCAGGACCAGTGGTCCATGTTGGTACTGAGGCTGCTTGTAGCCAGCTGCTGTAGCCAGATGTATTTGCATCCAGTGCGTGGTTAATATGCAGCCTGGGTGATGCTATGATTCTGCTTTTCAGCAACAGCCTACAGACCTGGTTTTCCTCACTAGAGTAGATGGTATTTCTTTTCTTGGGGAAGAGCTATTGCAAAGTAGAAGCGTGGTGAAGTTAAGTACTGTAATTTCACCACAATGTAAACTACGCAAAATCAGCTCAGGAAAGAAATGGAGCTGTCTTATGCAGTTCATCTTGCACTAAAATTAAAAGTTTGGGTTTTGTCATGCCTTCACTCACTATTTATAGAGGGAAGATATGTTTTCAGGTGACTAAAGGAGGGCTGCTCATTTTTCTATGCCTGAATTCAGAATTAATTTTAGGAGTAATTACTCTCTAAAAAACTGTCATTAAGATCCCCACATTTGCAGAATTCAAGGAGGGGCTAAGAAAGGCAGTGATGGGTTTCCTGGGGGTTCCTGTCCACAAAAAGATAGATGTCTGAAAATATACTAAACTGGTGTTATTTGAAAAAGCACTTGTTCCCTCCCTGGCTATTCCCTCCATTTCCACTGATAAAGAAACTACCGTTTCCTCGAACAGTGAATACATTTGTTACTTTTTGATCCTTCTTAATTTTGGAGATAATGCCTTCTTCCTTCTTTGAACAAACAGTTAGCTAAAGAACAGCATATCCAATCTGAAAATTACGCAATCTTCAATATCCTGAGTAAGGGAGAGATTGAGTGCAGCAACTCTTTGGAAGATGAATGTGATACAGAGATTCCTGGACAGGCACTTATTTACCGTCCTGCTCGTCAGCATATTTATTCTGTCTTGTTGGAATCTGGAAAAGGTAAGGATTAAACTACTTACACCATTATTCAAGTATACTTTAAATTTTGAAATATGAAATCTTGAATTCATTGTTGCAGCAGCTACATCAGCATGGCATTTAGGATAAAAACTGTGGGCAGCTGAAGTGTACTTCTTAAGGAATCGAGAAAATGTGACAATGAAATTGCAGTTTTTCTACATGCTGTTCAATTTCAGTGCTTTTAAAGAGATTTTTAAAAAATTGAGAATTGTCCTTGTTAAATGGGAAGTTGTGAAAGTTGTTAATGATCAAAAGATTGAGCAAAGGAATGACATTTAGAAGATTTTGAAAGTTTGAGAGGATATGAAACCTTATGTTGCTTTGATAAATGTAGCTCCTGACGAATTAGGGAGTTGTAATACACTTCTGCGAAACAGTAATACACTGTTACAGTTTTACCTTCTGTTGATTTTAAGACTGCAATTTTAAGAACAGTGGATAGTCAAATGTAGTTATTGTAGTAATACAAATGCAAGTAGTTATGCCAATAATTATTACTTCTTTCATCAAAGGGCAAGAAAATATGATTTCTTTATCCAGTGGTACAAATGGATTCTGTAGCAGGTATCTGTGCTTCCATTCTTCTGCTCTAAGAGAGAGAATTCTTTATTCACATCCTTGGACAAATTTTATGTTCTTAAGACTTCCATTATTTAAATGTTATCTTTACAGTGTCTTTTAGGCAGTGAGTTGAAAATTAAAAATATACTGAACTTTTATTCTTTTTAATATGTTGATTTCTCCTTTGTAATCACTTTACATTTTATCGATGAAAGTGCACTGCCATCAAATCTAATATTCAAACTATGTGCTTAGAAAGGCACAGAAAGGTAATTAAGTACCTAACTTCCTTCAGCAGCTAGAGGTTGAAGTTGTGCCATAATAGAAAAAAAAAAAAGGAAAAACTGAATCAGAGTTTACATAGTCATTTGGAAAGAGTAACAAAAGTCTCAGCAGTAATCATGCACATCTGTCACTTTTCATTTTTCAGCTTTCTGCCTCTAAATTTTGTAGACAATTATAACTTGGTTGAGTTTGGTTTATTCCTCTAAGCAGTAGGATATTCACTCATGTTTTCAGAAACACCCAGACCAAAACTTCTAATTAACAATTGTTGCTGCAAGATGGCAGGGTAGTAGGTAGATTTGCGTTTGTGTTACAGTGTTTGTAGTACTCAGATGAAGATTAGAGTTGAAATACAGAAACATTAATTTAGAATCTTATGGAAAATTAAATTCGAATGTGAAAGAGGTTGTCTTTTAAGAAAGTGTATTTAGAGTAAAACCACAGATAACATGTATCATTTGTCCTCAGTTCATACTTCAAATTCCAGAGATAATTTTTTAAAGTAAATCATAGCGCACCCTCAATCCTTAACCCTTCCAGAAAAGTAGGTAGAGTGTGTCTTCATCGGCACCCCTATTAAATCTGCATTTTTAGTGGACATATCTACCTCTAACTGCTTTAACCATGTCACTTCCTAGCAGTTTATGGGTTGTTTTTTTATTCCGGTGTATAGTTGCTTCTAAGTCAAGAGTGTAGATCATTAATCAGAGTTTGTATGGGAATTCATAAGTAAATATCAGCATTTTTTTTTCTGTGAATTTGCTGCTAGACCTACAAGGAAGTTTTATTCTTTACAAGGTAAGTAGAATCCTTTGCCAGTTTCCCTCAGATGAGGTTAACCGTTTTGACTGTTTTTTGTAATTTGATGAGGGGTAGGATGGCAAGAAGTAACCTACACTGTGTGTAGGTTGTAGTATAATTTAAAATTACTTCAGATTAGCATTAAGAAGGAGCTTGTTGGAAGGAGTCAACCAATTAAATTAGTCCATGTGCAGTCTGCTGCCATTGTGATACAGTTGCTGATGTAGCTCATTTGAAGCTAACTTGGCTAACTCTACACAGTGTTCCAGTTTGCAGTGGAGATGTGTGTATTAGTGATCCTCTTTTTTATTCCTTAAGATCCCTCAATTACAAGATTCCTATGTTGGAAAGTGACCTCTTTGCAGCTTGCAAATCTGCTTTACTGTTAAATAGGGGTAGCAAAGCAGTCAAAGTTTAGTAAAAGCAGTGGTTACAGTTTTAGTAAGAACAGGTTAAAAATAATGTAAACTGTTTCCTCTACCCTGAAACAAGAAACTGTCAATTTTGAATGTCCAGGCTGAGGTTTCCAAGGGTGCCTAAGAGACCCAAGAATCCATAGGAGCTGGATGTTGTCATATCCTTTGAAATGACCTACCTAGGCCATGCCACTTTGCCTGAAGCCATAGTGTGATAAGCGTTTCTTTTGTTGTCAGTGCTAGTTTAAGTAATTCTATTGCACAGCCACTCATTTCAGTCCCAGTGCAACCTTTCAGTTGTGCTGGTGCAGCTGTTTGTGCAGCTGCGTGGTGGCGTAGTTTGAGAAACTGAAAATAGCCCCTCTCTCTTTTCCCTCCCTTTCTTGCAGTCAGGTAACTAACCTGGTTCTGTTTCCCCATCTGACTCTTTGTGTAGCCACAAACAGCTGTGGTGAAATAGCCCGAGGGAATGGCAGGGAGTGGGAATGAGCAAATCGGTGGTTGCCTGAAAAAGTTAGCAGTGCTGCTGAAAGAATTGCTCATGTAGCTATGCCTTTGGCATAGTTTGGTATACGGTAAGCATGTGCATACCTGTACTCACAGAAATGTCACTAGAATCACAGCCTTACTTTTGACCCTACCAAAATAAATAGGGGCTTGATGGTAATCCTGATAGCATGGCATTTGTTGCCTGTGTATTTTAAAGGTATCTTTATAATTAATCAAGCTGTTTCTGGTCGTTAAGTGGAATATTGCATAGAATGATATATAAATTGTCAACTTTTAGCATCTTTCCTAGAAAAACAATACTATTGGAAAAAGTAAATAATGCACCTTGATAGGCCAGCCAAACTCTTTCTTTTATGTGCGAAGAATTCTGAACAAAGCCGGCAGATTTTGGCACTAGCGCGGTCGATGGAAATACCTGCATCTGCATGACTTGCCAATTAGGAGGTTATGTAATGTAGCCTAAGCCTGTGGCCAGCTCCTGGAAGTCCTGGCATCACTCCCAGTTCTAACATTAGCAGGCCAGACTGACCCTTGCTTTGACACTGTAAAAAACAGTCCATTAGCACAATTTTTGCCAGTTATCCCCAATGAGCACTCAGGAGGGCTGGCATTGCCACAGGTGTAGAGGAGCACGCATAACAATTTCCATTTTCAACTGTCTCATGTTTTGGTGTTTTGCACATAGTTGAAATTTTCCTTAGGCTGCCTAAGCAGTGCTTCCACAGGTCATTCAGAACCTATTTAAACAAAGGAACTGCTGGTTTTTGAATTTCACTGGTGATATTCTGCATGTTCATTGTGGGGAAAAAAGTTTGGAAAATTACTGCTTTTTTCCAGAGATATTTCCATGCAGGGAGGGTTGGCATTTAGTAATCATGTCTCCATTTTGTTCTTGGTATGTTAATGTGCTGTCAGTTTGCAGGACCTTGCTTTCAGCTATATTTATTTGGCTACTTATGTGAACAGTAATATACTTTTGTTACTAATGGGCTATAATAGTGAAAAGCATTCAGCTGATATGGTGCTACGTCCTGTACCAACATTCACATACATTAAAAGAACAAAATTAGAGGTTTCCTATTGACTTCTCTTTTTCTGTGCTTGAGCTCAATGGGTGATGTAAAAATAGTATTTCACTGGCATTTGGAATCAAGAGACATTTTCATAAGTTGTTCTGTGAGTTGTGGAACTCATAAAGAGTGACTCTCCCTGCCAGGTTCCCCTCAGCAAAGTTTTTTACTCCTTCCTAGCATTCTTGTAACTTCTCCCTGTGTCCTTGACAACTCCCTCCTGCAATATATGGTGTTCTCAAGTATATTGCCTCCTGCTCTCCCCAGATCCCATCTACCTTTTTATTCAGCTCTAGCTTTTCCATAGCTACTTGTGTATTGATTTGCCATCCAGTGCATTCGGATACAACAGGTAGCTTGACTTCCCTGCCTTTCTTTCAGTTGGTGCCCTAATAGAATCATAGAAATATAGAATGCTTTGGGTTGGAAGGGACCTTTAGAGGTCATCTAGCCCAACCCCCC